TTCTGAATCTTTCACACAATCAATGAACTTGCATAAATATATCTAAGTAAATGAATGAACTCCTTGTATATTATATTCCAAGTAAATCTGTGCATGTAGGTCTCCTGTGTTCCATATTTACAGCAAATAGAACAAGAAAATGGTTTGTTTTAGTCCACTTGTACTTGCTCTTTGTCAAAAGTTGTGTTTTTATGTATATAAAAAAAACAACCAGCCTCCAAAGTAGTTTATTAACATACGTTTTATAAAAAGGTGTAAATAGCATATAAACACAAGAAAGTAAAATTGTGCACATTGCAGAAGTGACACAAATGTTTTTTCCGCAAATACTGCATTGGCCCATATTGACAACTATAGTCAGCACACCTGAACTTGACCTCGTCTGTGTTAAAATACAAGGGCTGATTTTTAGTCTCGGTTCGTCACTAAGCTTTCTGTGAATATATGGTACTCTTAAAATAGTAGACAGACCAAGTCTCCTGGCAGTATCCTTGATCTGCATGAACACACTTTCCTCCAAAATGACTGAAACTGAAAGCCTCCCGGGGATACAAAGCTGAATGGCCTTGATGTATTTACAAACACAGTATCAAATAAACCGATTTCAAGGGAAATGTGCATACACAAATTAGGTAGGTGCCAAACAAGATCAGTTGAGTGGTATAAACAAGGTAATACAGTTTGATTGGTCACTCACCTGTCCATCAAACTTGTATGGTTATTAAGATAGCAACAATTTTGATAGTTTGATACTGTTAGACCTCAAAGACTGTCTCCCTGAAATTAATATGCATGAAAAACATGAAGGGTTTATATATTGCATAAGTAACTTTATTTATTGATTAGGAGATAAACTCATGCTTCACATACAATGTATGTACTAATATTTTTTGACCACTGAAACATTATTTAGCAAGCAAATATTTAAAAATTGATGTAGACGGGACTGAACCCTCGACCTCCCACATAGGAAGCATGTACTGTGTCATAGGAGCCAAAGCCTAAATGTTGTTTTCACATATACAGCTTTATTATGTGGAATACTATATATATGAAAAGGGTATATATTTTAAATAGCTAATTTATTTAAGGATGATGTTGTTGTATTATGTAGTTGGACATGAATGAAATAAAAAACCTATTAAGCAAAATGTGATTTGTTTGTTTTTTAATTTCGCGCAAAACTACATGAGGGCAGCTATCCCTAATTTTACAGGGAACACTGCCAACTCCTGGCCTACTTTTTCACCAATGAATAGTGGGATTGAGTGTCACGTTATAACGCCCCCATGGCTAAAAGGGCGAGAATGTTTGGTGTGATGGGATTCGAACCAACGACCCTCGGATTGCGAGTTGAGTGCCCTAACCACCTGGCCATGCCGGGTCAGTAGTAAAATATAGAGTTGTATTTAAATTTAAAGTAAAGAAATGAAAAACGTGGAATAACTGCAGACGAAATATATCTCCGTACACAACATTTTTTGCTTAAACACTTTGTCTTTCTGGGTAATCGCCATCTTTGACTAAGATCTTGAATTTTTTCCTTGATTGAACTCTTAATAAAACGAAGTTATAAAGTGTGAATTTTTAAAATTATGGTATCAAGAAGTTAATTATTTTCACTTTTTTTTTACCTTCCATAATTGTATCAGCTCTATTATTATTATTATTACTCTTTCTTAAAGTGTCACAAAGCGTCGGGACAACTACCACCATTAACGGAAATGGTGTAATATTTTATTCCCCTAGCGGGTAAACTCGTTATTCGCGTACAAAGCGTATTTAAACTTTGGGTCTAATTATCGATTTGAGGCGACTGAATTTAGATAATTGGAAACGTATAAGAGTTATAACATAGTGACTTTTAAAAATAATGGTATCAAGAAATTTAAAAGTCAACGGTTATCATGTGTTTTTATTTGTAAATTTTTTTGTGTGTATGTGTCTAAATCGCATTTATACATTGTGTGAAAGCTGCAATTATTTTCTGTCGGGCAATGTTTTTGCTGTAGAGCATCGAACATAAATATTATAATTGTTTGTGGCAGTTAAGGCTGATTGTCGTAGATTATATAGTGGGTAAACTCGAGCTTTCGTGTATGAAGCATATTTAAACTTTAAGTCTAACTGTCCATTTTTTTTTTTTTTTGTTGTCTAATGGAATTTGTATTAAGATGTAATGGTATTACTTATTTATAAGCCACGTTAAGGTAAAGAATTAACTTGATGCATTTCCTTGCGTGTTTGCTTATGTTACTGTAGTAAGTAGCTTTAATCAAAGCCAATGTTGTAAACATCGTAGTTTTTCATTATAAAGATAAAAGTATCACTGTACAACTAGCCAGTAGGAATATTGCGTTTCCGTGCGAACAAGCACTGACTGGCACACATTGTTTTTTAATTACATGATAGGTGACGTTTCGGACTACAGCCCTTCTTCAAACCTAAATACAGACAGTTAAAGGTTTGAGAGACACCTTGAATCACACAAAGAGCACGGGGTTTTAACAATACTATACTGGTCGGTATACCTGTCTTTGGTAGGCAGAGCACAGATAGCCCATTGTGTATCTTTGTGCTTAACTTCAAACAAGCACAAGTAGCATTATTTAAAGGACTTATGTGTTTAAAACATATACTGGGCCCGGCATGGCCAATTGGTGAAGGCACTCGACTCGCAATCTGAGGGTCGCGGGTTTGAATCCCTGTCACACCAAAC